TTTACACCTTTGTGAGGGATCTTTAAGTTCAACTCGACAGTTGTTAGTTACAGCCAACAAAAGAGTGCTGTTATTGCATCTTTACAGATATCTTACCACTCTTGTCATCATTATGGTTCATAGGCATAGCAGCTGATGAGGACTACTGATTGCTATTCTCTATTGGCATCTTGCATAGCAACTTCTGGAAGGAAGCTTTCAGATGAGAGCCAGCTCAGACAGAGTCCTGTATCAGAAGTATGTGGTGTCTTCAGAAAGAGTGACTTACCTTTAACACCTAGGCAGCAATGGAGGGCAACAGCAAAATAACCTGTATTGTTCTGAGAGTTACTTGGATCCCACTGATCAAAAATTCAACTGAACTTTCTAATCAGGTACTGGAGTTATTTTTTTTAGATGGTTCTTATAGAGAATATTATCAGCCTCATTGACATAACTAAGTTGTGTGTGTATGTATGTATATATGGGAGTATTTATATATACTTATATGTATTATATGTAATTTTAGAAATATATAAATAACATGGTTCTTTAGAGCTTTTTCAGAAAGAAGTCTTACTGTTCTTTGTCTCTCCTCCCTCCTTGTCCTTCTAAATTAGCCTACTTTTCATTCCTCTTTTTTTCATTTTTTCTTGATTTATTTATTCAATAATTCAATATCTATTCCTAAAACATTTTTGTGCTCAACTTTGGATATGATAATGGGTGAGTTACATATATGATAAATGTCTTAACTATTCAACATTACCTTTATGGTATGTTCTTTTACAACACTGCAAATGTCATAGTATGCCTGATTCTCTTTGTCTATACCAAAGAGGTAACACAGCACAAAGAAGGATTCTGAGAAGACTTTGTACTCAGATGTTGTATGTGTTGGCCAACAGTGTTTATTTCTGGCCCTGATCAAGAGATTTCCATGGGTCAACAAGTGCCTCCTTCCCAGGAAATCTCATCCTGGGGAAGATATATCTACTCACTGGCATTTACAATGATTTATTATAGTTTACAATATGCAGACAAGAAAAAATCAATATGACATGATTAAATCATTCAGGTCTGTATTTCTAAATGAATATGTTGACTATGCTTATATGGTTTTATTAAATAGACAGCTGTTTTGACCTTATCTCTCCGGAAAGTAGCATTTGTTTCCTTCAGGGTCCCTAACTTTCTTCCTGACTGTTCTAAAACTAGTACAAAAGTGAACATAAAGCTATAAAAGTTAAGATCAAAGATTAACAACAAATTACAAAATGGGTAAAACTATGGGTCTTTTTTTCATGAAATAATTAAGAGAAATTATCTATGTTATGAGAAATACAGAAATGAATATCAATCACACTGTGCTTATCTCTACAGTTTTGCAAACATACTAGGGAAAAAGGAAGAAGGTGATATAGTGGGATAGACACTTAAACCTATCTTGTATCTTGAAGAAGTTTATCAACCACTAAAAGAATGGACTTACTGCTGGGTCTGTTTAATGAACATAATTTGATATATTTCAAAATTTGTAAATATAAAAATTACTTCTTCACCATTTAGATTACTTATTTAATCAATACATGAAATGGCTCTGACTCATTTATACATGATGAACAAAATGAGTGGTAAAACTGTGGCAGAAAATCCACTGAATATTTATATATATTAAGAAATGTGCTATTACTCCCAGTTTATACATGTTAGATTTCCTGCAGTACACTTCCTAGATGCTGAGTGACAGAACTAGAAAATAATTTCTGATCATCTATCTATCTATCTATCTATCTATCTATCTATCTATCTACCTACCTACCTACCTATCTATCATCTATTTATTTTGTTTAGTAACAAATGTCTGTTGTTGTAACCATGTCTTAGTATACCAACTATTCATTGCAATGTCACAGAATCTGTTTAAATGTATTATTAAATGTGTGAAATATTGATTACTGGAAAAAGCAATTTGAATATAGAGCAACAACTCTCCAAGGCAATGGTGTATAGTGGAAGAGAGAGAGAGAGAAGAGAACATGTCTCAAAACAGAGAAAAAATAATAATCTCTGATTTCCTATGGCATACAAAGGGGTCACCATGATGACTTGATACATAAATCACAGATAACTAGGAGATGCAAACTACAAGGTGAAAACACGAAGTCATAAATCACAGTTAAATACCTTGATTTTTATCATTTCATTTTGTACACATAAATTGAGTTAGCATCTATTATCCATAGAGCTGTAAATCTAACATGTATGTTTTGAAGGGATTGTCTTGAACATTAATTATTTTGATTGAAATAAACTGGATTTCACCTAAACGCATATTACTGTCTAGATTTTGGACATCCCCTGTCTAGATTCATTCCCTTCCATACAGCTTTTTGCTGAATTATGCTTCCTCAGCAAATCACATGTACTGAGTTACAAGTTTTATTAGCATACAAAAGAAATATAATAAATATAAATATAGTACAGTCAAAGAATCAGTTTACCAATTTAACATTCCAGCCAAAAAGAAAACTGAACATTCTCTGGGGCATACAATTAGGAAACATGAGTCATGAAGAATTAACATTTGCTGTAACATTGTCAGTGAAGAAATGGTAACAAAATAGGGAGAAATGAGGAAAAAGTATATTGACAACAAATCGCAAGCTGCGTCTCAGTGCTATGTATGTATTATTTTGGTTAATTTATTCTCACTTATTTATCAAAAAAGATTCTTAACATCATTGCTTAAGAAATTTTCTGTCATTCGTCTGTCTTGCTTCAATTTTATTATGCGGGAACATTCTTAAAAACAAGAAAACATTGTGTGAATCTACACAATCAAAGGATACAAAATTGATATATTGCTCAATGTTGTGTTCAACTTCATTCAACCGGAAAATAATGCTAATGCAAGGGATCTTAAAAATATCAGAGGGCTCTGGGGTTCTTTGCCAATATACTCTGAAAGGCACTATCACATTGAATTTGCAAAGGAAAAAGACACAATTGTTTTCCAAAGCAATACTACCCAACAATTAGTCATGCAGGTTCTGTATTTCTGTGAAAGAATCGTGAACTCTCCAGGGATCATGAGATGTATAAGATCATGATCATCTTAAGGGAATGATTTTTTTTTTAAATTATATCTATATGTTCCTTGTAGAGGTATAATTGAATAAATTGTTCAGGAAGACCAGAAGCTGTCAAGTCCTCTTAGCTGGAGTTACAAGCAGTAGTGAGACACCTGAGGTGGGTGGAAGAATGAGAACTCATTATTCTCTGTAAGAACATAAGTTACTCTTAACCACTCAGTCACCTCTACAGCCCCCTTAAAATAAATACAGCTCTGATAAGATGAAAATGAATTGGTTAAGAGCTTTCAAAGCATCTATTGAAAATATATAGATACATTATAACACTAGATGAGCACTAAAGTGCTAGTAAAATTCTCTATTGATTTGTTTCTAATAACCATATGCAGAGTCACCGTATGATGTCAAAATTTCAGTTAGATGAAAAACTATCATATCTAGCATGACAGATCCTGTGTCATACCTTGTTAACCAAGGTGTTCTTGTCCAACCACATTGTGCCAAAACAGGAAATAGGTAGAGTACATATAGACAGTTTCCACTCTTGTCTGTCATCAGTGTTTTCTTCCAGTGGGACAAACACCTCATTCTGCTTGGACACCAGCAGCAAGTAACACTCCTTTATTTTAGATGAATCTTTTTATGCCAACACCTTTACAACACATCAGCAGCAAAATTTCATAGTTAATAATTTGCATCTGTATTGTTGTTGAACGGTACTGATAATCTTATTAAGAACAATTGTTTTTATTTAATCTTGTAAAACTAAGTATACATGATTTAAGTACCTTATTTGTTATCTTGGAATACACTTTTAACAAAGATGTGGGAATGATTTTTTTATTCTACAATCATAAATAATGCCTATGGCTTTTCAAAGTAGTTGTGTTAGAGGTATCTTTACTAAAACTATGATTTATGAATGTAGTGAATTTTCTGTGCACTGATGCAAATATTATTAGATTTTAGATGAGAAGGTAGGTTTCCTCACAAATTTACATTTGGAAAATCAACCTTATAGCACTGAACTTGAAAGAAATGTGTTATTGGTGGTCATCAGAAGAATATATAACTGGTTCATAAATACATTCAAGACAAGCTAAAACTGAAACACTTTATTTTTCTCATCATAGGTAAATAGACTCAAGTAGCTTGTAGTTTTTTTACATGCATAAAATATGTGTATATCTTATATGACAAAGCAGTTTCCCTCATAGGTATTTGTATTTGGTGCAGACAAGAAATTTTTCTGGAGAATATTAAGATATTATGATACTACTTAATGGCAATAAAAATGGAATTATATGACACTGGAGAAGATTACAATCCCCAAGGGCATATATTGATGTCTTTCCCCAAATGCTTAAACTATGTACTCAGCAAGTTGACATCTGAACCTATAGTGCGTTCCAATCTGGCCAAATTCCTGATGTTGTATCAAAAGCAGTCAAGGTTATGATAAGTGTCAATCCTGAGATGTATTGATTATAGAGTGTACTGTGGCAACCCTTGAGGTGCGATAGCTCATTTTATAAAAGGCACTGGCAAATTGCACAAAGGAGTGCCAGAAATTTCAAGTATTGTAGAACAGGCACAGTTCTGAATTCCAGTGGCACTGCCCAGAAGATTTAAGGATGCAGGGGTTTTGTTTCTTGGAAAATGAAAAGAAAAAAAAAAGAATACTTTTCAAGAACTGACAAGACTGTTGTCCTTATATGACATTTGTCCAGATTGTGTCCATAGTGACATTTAACAGTCTTGTAGAACTTATATTCTGCATTGACTGCGTCATAGATTCACTTAGCAAAGCAAGCTAAGTGAAGATTACACATTTCATTGGAATTTAGAAAATATTGTAGGCGATACTCAGGAGAATATGACTGGTTATCATGTGATTCTTCCTGTAAAGCGTTCACCCCCACATACCTCTGTGGGGTTGATTGACGTGTTTCCTGGTGTGCATAATCTTGTAAAGCATCTCAGTCTCTGTCTCTTGGAGCTTAGGGCTTTGAAGCCACAGAGACGGTGCTTGCGTTTCAGCTGTGTTCCCTGAATTCTCATGACACCTCAGTATTAAATCTCTAATACTGAGATTGCTCATGTGTAAGTGGGATATTGAGTCACAGTATCTGCCTAGTAGGTTTTTATGAGTTTTAAACGAAGCTCATAGAGAGTCATGTAACAAGTGACATCAAACATAGTCTATGTTGTTTTGTGTGCCTGGATTAAGGTAAAGAGTGCTTTGGAAAATTCCGTGAAAATTATCTATTTATGTACTGTATCTTATCTACATAGACCTTTATTCGTTGTAGAGTAAGGAAAACTTTTCTCACTCCTTAGGAAAAATCGTTAAAAGCAAGCTGTAGGTGCTGGCACTTTGTCTCAATAGAGTGTGCACTTGCTATGCAAACATGGGTGTGGAGTTAAATCACCAGAATCCATTTTAAAGCCAGATGGTGTGACCACATGCTAAAAGTTTCAGTGCAGGCAGAAGGCTTAGATGGAGAATACCCAGAGCAAGCTGTGTAGCCAGACTAACTGAACTAGTGAGCTCTGGGACCCCTGAGAGATCCCTTGTCAACTTAGAAGATAGAGAGCATTTAAGGACTCCCAATGTCTAAACATGCATTCTTATACAAATACTTTCATACTGGCACACATTCAAGTGTGTGTGTGTGTGTGTGTGTGTGTGTGTTTTACTTAATACCTTTAATAAGAGAATGCATTCCAAATTATTTAAATTGTTTTCCCTATTTTTGTACATGGCATTAACTTATCATACATTTACCATTATATATAAAATACGGTGAGGAGAGTTTAAGGTTTTCAGGTTCAGACTTGGCATTATTGATGAGACTTTGATAGCAAATGTAAAATGTATTAAGACACTAAGGCCCTTGACTTAACCAAAATGATAGAGTTGTGTTTGATAATGTACAGATATGTCTCAGCATTTGAGACTGTCAGGCAAACTTGTTAGTTTGAAGCTACACTGGGCCAGATAGTGACATCTTTTCTCAAAAAGACAACAAAATAAAAACTTTGAATGAATGAATAACAAACAAACACCATATAATGGAGTAGGCATATCTTAAAATATCCAACAAAAGTTAATCATGTCATAGTAGTGTCCTGTCAAGGTGATAGATGAGAGCTTTTGCTACTCTTGAAAAACACAAGAAGAATTCCTAAATTCCTAGAATCCCACGAGATTCCCATAAATTAGAGTGTGACAGAGGGAGGAGAAGCTGATTACTCAGAGCCATCATAGGTGCCTGCTTCGTGTAGGCTCTTTGATTTGTTCCTTATTGCATGGGGGTGGGGGGCTTCAGTCCTCTTGAGCTGATTTTATTAACATTTGGATGATATAAACAGTATGTCCTCCTTGCTATAGTGGTAGTAAATCTGGGGTATGGAGCCCATTACTTTCCCCATATATTCTCCATCACTCAGAACCCACTGTACTAAACATAGTAATGTTGGTCTTTTTCTCCTCTTTGTTTTCTAGACATGACATCATTCCCATTGTTGTTGTTCCTGGCTGCTATGCTGCCCCTATCCCTTCAAGATAACTATGAGGTATGGGTAAGGTTTAATATCCTCTCAGAACATTTTAGGCAACGATGAAGGCTAGGAAGCTGTCAGACCACTCTTTAGAACTATTAAAAGCCAGACTGTGGAGTAAGTCTCAAAGTACTCATTGATAGTTTAGAGCAGTTGACACTATTTTTAAACTATGTCGAATGACCTTGTAGCCCCAAGTACAAGTTAATATTAAACAGAGGTTAAGGTCATGGTACACATGAATGAAACAGGCATACATTTATCACACAAAGTAGATATCGAAGATTGGGCTGGATGCAAATATAATACATTTTGATTTAATGTCACTTAAATTGTATTTTTGTTATAGTTTTTAAGTAGAAATATTGATATTAATTTAAAATTTTTTCTTTTTAATGAGTTCAAGAAATTAAAATTACACATGATATTTGAGTTATATTTGTATTGGAATTTTCATATCTGTTGATTGATTTCTTAAATTTTCTGTTCCATGAGCTGTTATTATTTTCTTTAATCCATTTCAATGTGGTCCTCATAGACAACTGATATTATATTCAAATTTAGCATGGCTTCAACTTACTCATTTCTGTATGTAACTTTCATAGGTAGTGTTTGAGAAAATTATAACTATATTTACAATTTTAAAAGTTTGCTAGGATTGAGATGATGATGATGCTTAGCAACACTTGCTTAGAAAGCACAAGTCCCTGGGTTTGATCCTTGTAATGTGTGCGCGATTATGAGCACTCACGCGCACACACACACACACACACACACACACACACACACACACACTTAACACACCAGAGATGTTAAGTACGTCTACTATGGAAACAATAAATTTGTACATGAGGCAAATAGCAATTATTTATAATCTGTTCTTATGTTTAGGTAATCCCAGATACGGTTCAGTTATCTTCTTTCATGATCGAGTGTGTAGGGCCAGCAAAGTTACTCTCCTTTTGTTTAGAAATCTAATAAAATTAGGAGGATTGGGCATTGCTGTAGCCTTCATACACTTCTTCGGCCTCTGCACTGGAGACTATTAGAATTCCTCAAGAGTAGGGAGTGCCAGTAACTGGTTAAACCTGTTTTTAAATATACGTTATATATCTTGTTACAATAAACAAATTAGCAATCTTGAAACCATTTGTTATCTAGGTGTTCTTTCAATCTGTTGGCATTCCCAGTTTCTTTTTTAAAAAAATATTAGTGTTTTATGGCACTTTTGAATCATCTATTCTCTTTCCCTTCTTTCTCCCTCTCTCTTTGGTCTACTGGTACTTCTTTATAAATTGTCAAGATCCAAATAGCAGAGATATTCAGAGTCCTCTTTTAGGAATGAAGGCTTCTTTGAGAGCTGCCATGAAGAACTGATTCCTCTCCAGCTGTCAACTTACTATTGTTCCTCTTGGCTTTGCTTTTTGGTGTTGTAATTATTAGGTCCTATCACCCATCCAATATAAGCCCTCTCACAATTTGTTCTCACATTTCAGTGTTTCTAGTATGTTTTTATTTTTAATCTGTACCACTGCCTGTATAAGCACACTTATTGTCTGGTGGAATTTTTATCTTCCATGGAAGGTAGGATAACAAGCAGAAAATAATAATGACTTTCTCAGAAGCTATATATTTTGTCTTTAGAAATAAAACAACTTTAAGTATGTTTTCAGGTTAAAATGGAATGTTTGGGGGGAGGGCCTGGAGAGGTAGCTTGGGGGACAAAAGCATTTACTACTCTTGCAGAGGACCATTTGGTTTCCAGCATCCACCTGAGGTTCCTTACACCCACCTTAACTTCAATTCCAGGGAATCTAGTATTCTCTTCAGACGTTCATTTGCATTGCAGTCATCTACATAAATTCAAACACAAACATGTATGCTTAATTCAAATACATGTATTAGAAAATGATGCCAATCCCTTAATCAATAAACATCTGGCGATGTTGTTTCTTTACATTAAAATAAAACATGAGAATTTTCAAGCAACAACTTTAACATGAACATCCTTTCTGCCTTACAGAGCGTTGGCTGTGAGAGATCTCTTGGCACGAGGCTCTCATCAGTGTCTTCAGAACATAAAATATTAGGGAGAGATGGACATGTAGCAGACACTGGCATTGCAGTGTGGCTAGATCCATGGTGCCATGTCTGCAGAGTTTTGTGGGAGTAAGTACTGTAGGAAGGAGAAACAACTTCTCCCAGCAGGAAGATAAAATATATGTGAGGGTGTGTCCATCAATAATTATGCTGTAACATCTTGTTCTTCCCTATAAAACAGTACATTTTGGAGTATGTTTCTACCAAAAAAAAGTGGCTCTTACATCTCTGTCAACTCACATAATATCATTACATCCTCCTGTCCCACACAGAAAAAAAAATGTAAATTTAAATATTAGCATCTGAGTTAACTTAGCTGGCTTATTTCTGTTCACTGAAGCATAAAGTCAGAAATATTCAACTGTTTTCAGGAACTCATTGTCTCCAAATTTACGTGAATATTAGATAAACCTGTCTTGAGACTGACCACAAAAATCCGTCACACATAAAATTCTCTTATTGTAATAAAATGTTGAATGCACACATTGTACTAGGTCTGGGGCCTACACATTATCTCACAAACGTCCAAACACCTGATAAGAGGGCTATTGCTTACTAAGATCTAGAATCTATTATGTGTCTTCTTCCTTAACACTTTCTTGCTACAATATAAATGAGTCTGAATGAGTTAAGTTTCTCTACTATGTATGGCTATCATTACAGCTCTCTCTTAAGTCAATATTGACATTTGTAGGTATCCTCAGAAAAGTTTTTACTTTGACATGTGATGAATTCTTTTATAGCCTCAAAATTTCTGTTTAAAGTATTTCTTATGAAAATGTCATAGATTTTCTTAACATTAATTATGAAGGTTTAACGGCTAACATTTTCATGAGTCCTTTAACAAAGACCTTCATTTATCTTATCCAACTTAGTCACCTTTTTGTACAACTTTAACAGACACTAACGTGACTTTATTTTTATTTCTCTTTAGAATCAAGTCCTTGAGGATTTGTCAACTGATAATGAGTCAACCCAAGAAGAGATTGTAAACAAACACAATGACCTGAGACGAAAGGTTGATCCACCTGGTAGTGACTTACTGAAGATGGTGAGGGCTCACAACAAAACACTGCATTTGGAGAGCTATGTTTGGAGCCTGCAGATAGCACTTGGCTTCTCCTGTGTGCTTCAGGAGGGTTTGCCTCTATTCTAGCATCTCTTTTTAACCGAAAAAGTATTCAGTGTTTTGCTTATGAGCATGTTTACTTGTCTGAGTGTGTGTGTGTGTGTGTGTGTGTGTGTGTGTGTTTGTGTGTGAGCATCCACGTAGAGATTGGACTTAGTTTGTGTCTTTAGCTGTGCTTGATCAGAGTAGAATTTACTAAGTTTCTTTCATCACAGTAACTCATTGATATTGTGGAGCTACAACAATTATAGTGACAGAGTTCAAAATC